ATAGGTCCATCGTACCATCTTCTGCTTGACCTGCCTCAACGGCCGATCTGCGAATTCGAGCATTTGTGCGCGCCACGCCTCAGCTTTCCCCTTGAATTCGGTGAACGGGAGCCAGCCGGGTATGTCCTTAACTATAACGGACCATTTATGAGCGAGACAAGTTGCAAAGGTACCCTAATGCTCACGAGATGGGAAGACATCCACCGCTCAGACGCCTTTCGGCGGTCCTGGAGCAATCTCGTTTGCCAGCAGGTTCATGCACTCCTTCCCTTGTGTCACAATCTCATCGTCGTTCGATGTGACACGATGACCGTAAATCACTAAGAGCGCGAGCCCGGTCGTGTACCTGATAACAGCACACGTCCGCGGGCGCAGCTCAGTACCAACAGATACATCAAGATGAGTTTCTCACCTGAGTGTATGCCGAGGGTACTCCTCTGGTGTAGCGACCAGTCTTTGCAATAACCCACGTGTCTCCAATTGCATCAATGCGTGGTACATGGGTACCGATGATGATCCCAAGGCACGATCCATGAGTAGCCTGTGTTTCCGAAGCTCTTCTCCGTACGACAAAAGCGGAGTCTGACATGGCGATGTAGGTCATAAATTCACAAGCGCCATCATGAGCAAACTCGAAAAACTCACTGCTTTGAACCCACATCTTCACAGATACGACTCAGTCAATTGCAAAACGACACGCACAGACAAGGATATTACTCACAACTCAGTGGTCATAATCGTCTGAGGTCTGTCGCTGTAGATTGCCCCACGTTTCACGAGCAGGTCCTTCGCCGCGTCCCCTGTGTGAACGTGTACAATGCGCATCCCCAATACATTCAGAGATGTGATATCTCCTGCGTTGTAGTTGTACTGAGACGCGAGATAGTCTTGTCATCGATTAGGACTGACCATACTGGCTGCGCCATCGTGACGCCGCGACGTGTGGTTCCGATGTCGGAAGATCGAAGAAATTCCCGATTATAGGCCACCCTTTCGGTCCTGGGGGAACGGGCTTCTGGGCCTTCCGCGCGCTGCGCAAAGCGAATAGCACGACTATACAGAGAAGCAGGGCAAGTATGTCCGTGAAACCGAAAACACCATGTTGAATACGATCACAACGAGCTGAGGTGCCCTGGGAGATTTCATATCAATATGAGAAGTTTCGCAGACGTAGTAGAAGTCCTTACGCTGCAAGGTCGCTGAAGATCTGACCAGACGAGGACCGTTTGAAGCAACGCATGAGTCGTAGGGGCCTCAGTTAGCCGACATACGATTACGTCTTTCAATACTGCGGCCCTCACCGCCCGAAACCCGGCGATATAGCATGTCGTTGGCATTGCAGAGTTACCCCGATGTTGAAACGCAGCGCGCCCATTGTCCAGGATAGCTTAGAGGTGTTACACCCATCCATGATGATGCACACGAATCCTTACTTGCTCAGCAGAATGTGATCCACTTCTCGTCCTGTGTGGAAGTACAATTACTCTTGAACTTACTCTCCAGAGATCTTCCACAACCCCTCCCATGCATCTGAGCTTGAGGTCAGTTGTGCAGAGTGAGTCATTGCTGCAATAGGATACAACGACCTCAAGCGTCCCTCGGAGATGTAACGGTCTCAAGCGGCGTGGCTCCAGAGAGCGTGCACCCGTACGATGAGTTCGGTCTGCAGCGACATCACAAAGATCATGTATCGCGGTCTCATGCTAGGATCCCATATTCCGAAGTCTGATAATCCGACACCATCTAAGCAGGCTAAGAGGTCAATAACGAATTGGAGAATCCTCCGCGGAACACCTGGATCCCCTGGAGTGAGATTGCGAGAACATCCACGTGCTGCATCCTAACCCTAACCCAAATCTAGGATGATCGCCCTTGATCGTCATTAGCAGGTGGTACATACTAGGCTGTATATAGTGTTAGTCCGGTTGAGTTTGCGCTACAAATCAACAACAAGTCCGAGTACTTCGTCCAACGTCTACATGTCCTGACTCTCTGGGCACAAAAGTAAACCAGACTCAGTGCTCACACCAGCATACCCGTGACGACGCTCAGGCCCACTGCCAGCATCGCCGCAACCCCAGTCGCAACCTCCCTCCCCGCGCCGTTCCCTTGGCTGCCCTGGCTTCCGCTCCCGGTCGCCAAACTCGGGCACACGCTCCCGGACTTGTTCAGCGCCGCCACCGGCACGACGACCATCGGCGCACCGCCCTGTGCGCTCGCGCTCACGCCCCCATTGCCGTCCGCGTTGATTGCGGTGCACGAGAGGACGTCGACGAGCGGCTCGTTCGCAGGAAACCCTGCGTCGGGGACGCTCCAGCTCGGAGAGGAGCTGTTGCCGCCGTTCGTGAGCAGCGCGAGGACCGGTGGCTTGGAGAGCGCGAGTGTAGAGGATGTCGTGGAGAGGAACTTGGCCTACAACACGGGACGCGACCGGTCAGTGCTGAAGTGTGCTATGGTGAAAGAAGTTATGGACGTACGGGGGTCGTGAGGAATGAGCTGTTGTACGCAATCGCGGCCTTGCGGGCCGCGTTCAATGTCTTGACGTGGTTGACGAGGGGCTTGTCTTCGACATAACCCGAGAGCCAGAGTCTGTCATAGGGGTGAGCATCATTCGTGCCGAACGCATTATGACTTACGCTTCACGGTTAGCGGGATCGGCGCCGCCCGTATAGCCCTGCTCTTGTCCTATGACAGATGAATACTCGAATACTCAGGAAGACAAAGAGGACCAACCGTAGTACAAGATCGGGATGCCATCCTGAACAAAAGGCCATGTCATCGCATTCTTGACCAACTAGCGAGGCGGAATCATCAGTGATGTTGCCGCTTGGATATGCATACCATGCTCACTGCCTGGTCTAGCGTCATAGACTGGAAACGTGGGTTGTCTTGGTTCTCGAGGAACGACCCTGTCATGAATTCGCCATCCTTGTACGAGCCCTGCGCTTGTGTGACGAGATCCACGAGCGCGGACAGGTTCCCCGAGGGCGAGACGAATGCGGACGTGAGCGGGTAGAACGTTGGATAATCCAGCACGCTGTCGAGCACCTCTAAGCAGAGTCAGCATTGTAGCAACGAAGGTATCGCAGATGGGAACGCACGGGTATACGGCGCGACGTAGTTGGTGTCGCCGTCCAGGACCTCCCCGATCGTGAACACGCCCGCGTTCTGCGCAAAGTCCGGCCAGAAGTCCTTCCGGATGTGCTTCACGGTGTCGATGCGCACGCCGTCCGCAGTGTAATTCGCTATGAGGCCCTTGATCCACGTGTACATCGTGTTCACAATATCGTCGTTTTCGGTGTTGAGGTCCGCGAGCGGGACCGTCGTGTCGCCGAGCCAGCACTGCTCGACGTCCGTCTGGTTGTTGTAGTCGGAGATGAAGCACTCCGCGTGGAAGTCCGCCTGAGTGTTGAAAGGCGAGAACGACGAATAGTCCGGCGGGTTGGACGTCGCGGCCATGTGGTTCACGACGACGTCGAGCATGAGGTACATCCCGCGCGAATGCAGCGCGGATGCGAGCGCGTTCAGGTCGTCTGCTGAGCCAAAGTGCTCATTGAGCGAGTTGATGTCGCGTGTCCAGTACCTGCATTCGGCGTGAGCATCTGGCCTCGGATGATCTGAAGTAAAATGGGGCTCACCCATGGAATGCCTCGCCCTCCCCCGTGTTCCCCTCAACGTTTGCAACCACGGGGGAAATCCAGATGGCGTCGAAGCCCATGTTTTGAATGTAGTCGAGCTTGCTGATCACGCCCTGCCATGTCCCGCCACAGTAGAGGCGCTGGGACGTGTCGCACGACGGGCTCGATCCATTCGACGTCGCAAAGCGATCCGTCACGAGCTACAACAACGCATTTTCAGTCTCATCACTGCGCAACTGAACAAAGGAAACACACCTGATAAATAGACCGGTTCTGCCACTCATTCGCGGAGGCTGCAAAGACCGGGAGTGCAAAGAAAGGAGCGACGAGGGCTGTAATTCGCAGCGTAAACATGGTGGCGGAGAAGGAGGGGGGAAGGGAGAATGAGCACTTGGCTTCGGGGACCTGCCTCGGTTTATGAAAGACGGAAAACGGAAGCCGTCGACTGTCAGGGGTTCGTGCGCGTCAATATCTGGGGTCGTCTTGGACCGGTCGGCATCTAGCTCATGTTATACTGCCTGGACCGACCGGCGAAATGCTGACTGGCATTAACAGCGGGCGCACGCGAGGATGAGCGTGCTGTAGATCGTCGCGTAGCTACGAACGGAAAGAGAATGATGTGCATAGAAGCCAGGCAGCTAGTGATAACGTCCACATACCTTCGCACTTCTGACGAATTCGACCCCAAAATATTTACCATTCTAACGTTCCGATAATAAATTGCGCACAACGTTCAGCGAACGGAAAATTCTAGGTCGGAGTCTGCATGATCATCGTCGTGGGTGTCCTTGCGGCAGCAGGTCATGAGAGTGTTGTGAGTGTCACTGAGTGGTTTGTCTCGCTCCCGACATTTGATAGTCAGATTGAGCGTCTACCGGATACCTGATGGGGACCGAACCGGGTAATAAATATCTCCCTCCTCCTTCCATCGGCAGCTCTCGGCACCCACTTCAACCTGCACAGACAAGAAAGAGCGTCGTGTCGTTCATCTAGCTGTGAGTGTGCTCGTGGGAGTAGGAAACAATCGACAGTCCTCCAGTACTTATTTTCTTACCCATCGCCCCTCTTATTTGTGTTACTGTCATGAAATCTGCTCGCAATGCGCTTCTCCGAGAAAACCGGAGATTCAAATAGGCGCCTGCCACCGGGCTCCGGCCAAAGAACATGTTGCCTGCAAGGAATTTCGATCTCCCGCCAGTTATTTTAGATAGCTTTACTTGGTTAAGATTTACCAGAATTCATCCACTTCTCATAGATATAATGTTCCTCTGTTCTTCAAAACAATGTTTCTGAGACAATTTGGCACTGCGACGGAAGCACCTCGCCTCTGGACGTCTATATGAGTTTGCGACTGACGATCAAGGCCGACTGGCGAAATGGCATCGCGTCTGACTACGACTTTGTTGTAATATCAGGAGATTGCAGGTTCGACCCCTGCGTCGGTCAGTCGATTAGAAGTTCTTGTTGACTTTTCTTCTTTTTCTCTACCACACAGAACTGGCGTAGGAAAGGTCAGCAGCTTGGGTTCACAAACTCGCGATAGTATGTAGTGCAAACGCGCTCTGCCTTTCGGCCAACGACTGAATATATCAGCGAGAACACCCAGGTGTGTACTACGTGTTATGACATGTACATGCTGACGACATTAAGCATTATAATACTATCCTTCCCAAGTCCTCAACCCACAGAACAACCACTTCACCGTGCCCTTGGCGCCCTCTGCCGCGCCGCACGGGGCTGCTGCACCCTCGCCGGGCGCGCCGCTTGGCGCACAGGAGCTACCGGGGCCTGCACCGCGGGGAGACGCACCGCGGGCAGGCGCGGCGGCGGCGGCGGGGGTTGACGTAATCTCTGGAAGTATCCATCGGGCGGCGGCGGCATCTGGTGGAACGGCGGCAGCACAGGAGCCTGGAGCGCCTGACGCACTAGGGGGTTCAACATCTCTTGCGCCCTCTGGATGAGTGCCCGCCTGTTGTGTTCGGCCATCCTCGGTGCCGGAGGGTTCCCCCACTGTGGAGGGGCCCCAAACACGTGCGCCGGGGCGGGGGCGGGGGCGGGCGCTGCTACAAATGCGGGAGCGGCGGCAGGGGCAGCCGCGTGGACGTGGTGTGGAAGTTGCAGCCCGCCGGGCACACCCACGGGCAGTGGTGGCGCCAAACGCAGCTCGCGCCGAGGGGCACGTTGACGGCGCTGACGGCGAGGTGGCGGGACGACGTGTGGGGCTACGTGCACATGATGGTGTGCAGGGCCCGCTACAGGGGCCGGAGGAGGCGGGGGAGGGAGGTCCACTTTGAGGTCCTCATCGGTGAGCTCGGGGTGCTCGCGTCTAACCTGTTCAACGGCATCCTTGAATGCGGTGCTAACCTGAAGGATAAGGTTCAGGAGATGAGACTCAACATTTGTAGAGGAAAGGTTAGGACGCACCTCGTTATTATGCCTCTGCTCGACAGAGGAGTCCCATAGCTGACATTTGTTCGGGTCTACAGGGCCAGCCTGTCCAGGAATCTGGAAGGAAGCTGAGCTAAGTCTCGGGGTAGCGAGAGGCATGGACATACGGTGTTGAAGTGGTCATATCCATTGATGACCTGGCGGCATACGTAGCACGAGAGTGTCTGGCAATTTGGGCACGTCATTTTGTTGCACTATAAAACATCTCGTCAAGCCATGTAGTGATCGACCAATGAAAAACACATACACCCATCTCCTTGATGAAACCTATAACACATGGATCAGTGAAAAACAGCGGCCTCGCTATAGGAAAGGGGCGTACTCTTCTGGCATTTGGGACAGTTGCGCATGAGTGCTCTAGCTGCCACGTCTTTCAGTAATCATGCACTCGTGAGTATCATGAGTAAACTAACTCATAGCCTCCTCAATCAAGTGCTTCACGTCGAGCTTCTTGTCCTCCTCCACCTCTTTACAGCTCTTTGGTAGATGGTCCTGCAACGTACAGACCTATGAGCAAGACATCCTGCATCACACCCAGACACCGATCCACTCACCATCTTCTTACACTTCCTGCACGTCACCGCACGACATTCCTCATTCTCGCACCTGAACAGCTTCTCCTCCTGGTTCTCGATCACGACCTTGTACTCACAGAACGGGCATTCCTCGAGGCCTTCGAGCCCCGCAGCCTCGATCTCCTTGCGCTGCTTCACCCTCTCATAGAGTTCGAGCAGCTTCGGGCTGAGCACGCGCTGGAGCTCGGACGGCGGGAACGGCGCCTTGCACCCGCCCTGGTCCATGCACACAATGTTCGCATCGTGCGCGCCAAGTAGTGTCGACGCGTATGTCGTCATGCAGTCTGTACAGAAGAGGTGCGCTTCGGGGCATTGAATCATCTTCTCCTAAATAATTGGTCCATGAGCGTGTCAGTGGGCTGGAACTACAAATATCAGATGGGGGATGTCGCACGTACGAAAGGATAGTCCGTGAAGCAGCATCCGCACTCGATGCCACTCTCTGCGTCGGCACCTGATACGCCAGATGTATCCGAGGACGACTGGCTCGGCCCGGGTTCGCTCTCCAATAGCTTGAGCCTCAGCCACTCGCGTTCTTTCTCGAGTTCAGCGTCATGGTGCACAACGCCCTTCCCCTTCCCCTTAGCCGGACGTCGCCCCTTCGGCTTGTACGGTAGCTTTGCCTGCTGGGACTGCGCAAGTAGCTCAAGGTGCGTCGGAGCATATAGAAAGTTATTCTGTGCGTGTACTTTCCGCACATGCTGTGAAGGTATTGAGGGGAAGTCTTCGCATAGCTGTGTCTAGAATAGGTACCCGTGAAATTGAGAAATAAACGCAAGCAAAATACGAAATGCAACGTACCACGGACAGCTGGACATAGTGTGGGCCACCTTCTATCTTCCGGTTCTTGCTCCCATAATCAAGCTTCGTACGCGCCGCTTCACGCTCGCCTTCGTCATCCGTTGCTTCCCGCTTGCGCTTCCCTTTCGACCCGCGGCTCTCCTTCGGATAATCCGTGTTCTCAAAGAGAAGGTGCAGCACCGCCTCGACAATGTTCTCTGGATAGCTGGCGATATGCTTCTCCACGAGCTCGCGCGCATGCGAGGGGAGCACATCGGGAATAATCTCGAGCACGGCGGCTACATGTGCATCGAGGGGATCTTGTGGGGCCGGAGGTGCCACAGCAGCGGTCTCAAAGGGACCTGAACTCGACTCGCCATGTGTGTCTTCAGCAGGAAAGATGGCGTTGGATTTCTTCTGGATGGCTTCTAGCTGCGTGCTAACTTCACTCAGAAGGATCCTGACGGCCTGTGGCGGAGAGTGCTGATGTTCCGCTGGCCTCTCTGCTCCTCCTGCGGCGTCATATGGTACCGAAGGATTCCTATACGGCTGGGATGGACCTGCACGTGCATTTGGCGGAGTACGTGACACCTGCTGCTCGCCCGGTGGATAGGGCCGGGTCTGTCGATCCTGTGCGCGGGGGGTCTTGGGCGAGCAAGGACGGACGTTCAGCTCAGAATCCGAGTCGGTAAGCTCGATGATGTCTTCGGAAATGACTGCTCGGGATTTTCCTTTACAGTCATGGTGGTGGGTCTTGCGTCGTCTGGTAGGTCGCTCCGACGAGCTGGAGCTGATGGAGATGGTTCGCTTCGTCCTGGGCTGAGCCATATGGCTAAGAGTGTACATTCTCAATCACAGATAATCGTTTTTCTTGAACATAAATCTTACGTTGCATCTAGCATTCACGTTACTATGCACAATCCAACAAAGGGGCCAGCAATCTCCAGGTGAATGGGAGAGTCGTGAGAGCGTAACCTTTCCGTTGTGCGGTTTTGCAGCAAGATGTTGGGGGTAAAGAGTATCAGATCCTTTCCGGACCGTCAAATTGAATAAGGCTAGTATGAGATGCGAGACGAGAGATCACCGCAGTAGAGACAAGGGCAAGGAGGAGGACAACCTGGCAGACCCGCAGAATGCAGCCACACTGGCGTTAGAATAGGCGCTCTCAAATGCACGCGTCGAGAAACCACGTGACTGGTCATCGTGGCGCTCCTGCGAGCTGATTTCGACTTGCCGCATCTAAAGGGCTTCCTCCCTGGAGCTATCTGTTAGGGACAACGTGGATGGCGTTTATCACATCCCGAAGAAACTATTTTCCCCTATATTTCGACGGACCCGCTTCAGAGACTGATACAATTGCTGGTGGATTGAATATTGAGGTAATAAACACATCCCTTGCCAAGAACATTTCTACACCGACTGATTTGCTTCCGCTATCCCATACAACAACACAGAAAAACTTTTCCCCACCTGTCAACTTGAGCGGATGCAACATTGCAAAGCTCGTCTCCATTGGATGCCCAACAAGCTGAGCCCACGGCCCTACACTGTGTGCATTCGGACCCAAAGGCCGTGCTGGACAGCTATATCAGCATCATGTCTCTCGGTCAACGGAAACTGTTACTGCACTCACATTCGCATACAGGGTAAAGTGGCTCTTCAACCACACCTTCTCCTGACCATCAGATAAGATGGAAGTAGCCGGAGACTCTTTGACAGAATGCGGAGGAATGGACTCGGGGTTGGCCTCCGGCACCAGTTCGATTCCGTCAAACTGTTGCAGAAGTCGGATCAGCATGAACGAGACTTCATTGTACGCGAACTACGACCGAAAGTGTCAGAGAGAACTAAAAATCAGTAGTTCACAGTACAGCTTACCTGCTGTCCGAGACAAATGCGCGGGCCAGCATTGAACGGCAGGAAGATGAAGGGGTTGACCGTCAGGTACTTCTGCAGACGTTCATCCAAGAAGCGGTCGGGATCGAACTTGAGAGCTAAAGTAATATCAGCATCACGCAGAACGTTCGCAACACACTACGAGCCTACCATCAGGACCCCACAGGTCTTTCCGGCGGTGCATGACGAAGACGGAATAGGGGGTTCTGTGAGGAATTTACTCAACGGTTGAGGGTTGCAGAAAGCATACAGACACCAACCTGACATTTGGCGGAATGTACAGGCCTCTGCCATCCGCGCGTTTTGAGGGCCAGACAGTAGGTTTGTTTGACGTCCTGGAAACAATGATACGACATGAATACAACGCCCCTCTCGAGTTTAGCTTACACATACCGGACATTGAAAGGTCTGTACAGTCAATAGTCAGATGAGTGATCTAAAATTCAGTATGAGAGATGAAAATAAGATAACTCTTACACAGGCGGATACAGCCGTAGCACTTCATTGATAAACGCACGGAGAAATTTCATCTCGCGAATGTCATCGTATGTTGGGCGGCGTGAGGGCCCGACCTTCTCTAGGATCTCGCTGCGCAGACGCTGCAAATTCTCGGGGTGCTCGATCAAGACATACAGCGTGAATGTGAGCGTTGCCGCCGTCGTGTCCCTTCCCGCGAGCAAGATATTCAGCGTTTCATCCTTGAGGATCTGCGCGTCTGGTCACGCGCTCGGATCAGCACGCGCCACC